ACCCGGAATTAATATCTAACTATTATTCAATTTCCTTATTAAATTTGTACTACAAGAGATACATATCCATTTAAGCAGAACAGTTGAAAAAAAAATCACTATTGTCCTGGATACATGAAGACCAAACAGGCTTCCTCCCAGGAAGACATCTAAAAAACAACATGAGAACAGTAATAGATGTACTAGAATTCTATGAAACACACACACAAAAAACCCCCCAAAATTAGGAATGACCTTTTTTAGATCTAGGAAAGGCATTTGATAAGGCTAACTGGGATTTTATGAAAATAGTGACGGAGGAAAGTGGAGTAGGAGGAAGATTTATGAACTGATCAATAATATATATAAAAAGCAAAGTACACAAATAATTATTAATGGAGAAAGAACAAAAAGTTGTATTATAAACAAAGGAATGTGCTAGGATTGCCTCCTATCACCATTACTATTCATTATGGTGATGGAAATATTAAACAAGAAAATAAGAAACGATAAGTTAATACAAGGACTGGAAACACATAATTACAACTACAAGCTCTGTATATTTGGAGAAGATTTAGTGGTCTTCCTGGAGAACCCAACAAAGACTACCACAAGACTGGTTGAAATATTATAACATTTTGGCACATTAGCGAGATTCAAAGTGAATAGAGGTAAAAGTGGAATATTAACTAAAAACCTTTCCAAAGAAGAAGAAGAAGAATCAAAAAGAAAAATGGAATTCTAGATAATAGAGAGTTTAATATCTAGGAATAATAATTACAAAAAAGAACTCAGACTTATATAAAAACAACTAAATTATAACTTGGAAAAGCATTTTAAAAGACATGGAAAAATGAGATAAACAACCATTATCATTATTGGGCAGGATTGCTACTATTCAAATGAATGCATTACCCAGAATGCTATATATATTTCAGACAATACCCATCTTATTAAATAAACAACCATTCAAAATCTTGAGGAAAGATCTATCAAATTTCATATGGCAGGAAAAGAAGCTAAGAATAAAAGTATCAGTAATGCAAGTCCAAAAGGAGACTGGGACTTCCAGATTTAGAAATTTATTATAATGCATATGCCCTATTCTGGATAAAAGAATGGATAAATCAAAAATATTAGAATTAGAAAGCAATAAGATGGAATGCAGATGACATGCATAGTTATGCTATGATAAAGCTAGAACAAATAAAGAATTTAATACACATTGTATAAGAAAAGCACTACTCACAGTCTGGAATAAATATAAATGATATTTTTACATACAAATATCCCAAGATGGACATCCACGCAGGAAGCATTCCACAGAAAAGAAACTTTACCCAAAGGAAATTGGATCAGATATGAGGATATCTTTACAAGACAGACGAAGGATATAAAATCAAAACAAGAGATGAACTGCAACAAGAAAGACCAGAAATAAATTGGCTCAGATACTGGCAAATCTGAGAAGACTTCAAAAAAGATATGGAGACAGAGGGAACAGAAAATGAAATGAAATAATTTGATAAAATAATTAATGAAGGAGAAAAATAATTGATAAAGAAAATTTATAAACATCTATTAGATAGAATTAAGTTAGGAGACAATTAAGAATAATATGCATAAGTAGATGCAGAATATCAGAAATGAAGTACCACTAACAAGTTGGGAGAATGTTTGGAAAAATAATCGAAAATGTACGAGGTGTAACAACCTAAAAGAAAACTACTTTAAAGTTTTCTTTAGATGGTACATGACTCCTACCAGACTAGCAAAAATTAAAAAAAACCAAAATAAAACTAATTGTTGGAAATGTAATGATAAAATTGGCACTCTATAACATATGTAGTGGCATTGTGAAAAAGTAAAAAAATTCTGGGGAAACATACATAAAATCATAAAAGAAATACTACTGATGTATTAGTAAAAAAGTAAAACTAAAAACTATTACTGTAAAAGTAATACTAGTGAAGTACTACTGGTTTCTATTAAAACCAGAATTGTTTTTATTAAACATAAAAGACTGAAGATAAATTAAATCAGGAAGAGAAAAGTGTATTGTTATATTTGATCACTACCCCCCCTATGGTATAGGCAAGGTACTGGAAAACTGATATAATACCAACTATAGTGAAAGTATATGATTTTGCTGTGATGGATAGCTTATCCATGTATATTAATGGAAAGACAATTCAGCAGTATGAAGAAAAATGGAGAGAAGTGACAAAACTATGGAAAAAGAATAAGAAGGATTAATTATATTAAAAGGATATAGGATATGTAATAAATAGATATATAACAGTTAACAAGTATGAACAAGTGTGAATTATTTATTTGTGCTTCTTTATAGAAAAGATGTTAAGAAATGAAAGATGGTACAAAAAGTCATTAGGTTTTAAATTTATAATTTTTTTAAGGATTCCAATATGAAGCAGACAAAACAGATTTAGTTACTAAGATTTTTAATAATGGAAGAATAAGGGAAGAATTAGAACAATAATCATTTAGTATAAAAAAGGATACATAAATCAAATCCAGAAAAAAAATATGTGATCATAAATGTATAGTTTAAAACATATTTTCTGTTTGTCTTTATGTTTTATTAAAACCATAGTAAAAATATTTTTAAAAAACCAATAAAGCGTTTTATAACAAAGTTTAAGTAGCAAGTCTAACAGACGTTTACATGTACATGCACATGTGAGAGCTGAGGATAATTTTTATGACTGTAGCAGGGATATGTGAAACAAATAGAAATCAGCTTTATGAGCATAATGACTGTCTGCATCCTCTAAATGTGCACAGAAAATAGCCTTACTCAAATTAGTTAATTAATGCAAAAGAACACTTGCTCACAGACTGTTCAGCTGTTTGGGAGCTCACATGTGAATCTTTCAAAGGGGAACATGATTGAACATATTCTGTGAAAAACAATTATTAGTGGCCACTAAAAATGTAGAACATAAAGTTCCAGCTTAAAGCACACTTTGAACTCTTTTATTATCTTACAATTTCATAAGTCATTAGTTTTTAAATTTATAATTTTTTAAAGGATTCCAATATGAAGCTAGAACCACAAACAATACTTAGAAGCAGAAAAAGTCAAACTCTTATGAACTCAGTTGATGTTAACCCATGCCTCCAAAATGAATAGTTTAATATTCCTCTAAGTGTTGTCATATATTTCCTTTCTAATTTAACATATTAAATACACAACTAGTGAGTTACCAGATCTCCTATGGCCCATCAGTCTCATACTATGGCATACCAGACAGTTAGAACTAATACTCCTCAGTCCAATTTTGTAATCTGGGGAAGGCAACAGAAGCAGATGTTCTCTTGAGTCATTGACAGGAATGAGATGAAGTATCTTGCTGGTGAGTCACATTCAGATTTGTGAACCCCAAGTGATGGAGGTCAATGCTAATGTTTTATTTCATTTAGAGACTAGTCTAGATTTCATGTTTTTGCTGTGGAGGCAGTGGCATCACCAGGGGATGTGGGAGGTTCAGACCACATCAAGTGACATCCTGGAGTGGGGTGTACTCCTGGTGGGGCTGTTGAAGCTGATGGGCAAGCAAGAAATGGCATCATGTCCCCTTCTCACTTGCCTAGCAGCTGCATGAGACCCTCTGAAGGCAGCAGCACTGTCTAAGTGCTAAGGGGAAGTGCCTTCTGTTTGGGGTCCAGCATGGCTGCTCCCTTAAGCAACTGTATAGCATTTGGCAAGCAAGCCACTGGAAGAGAGTCTGCCCCCGCCCCCGCCTCCTGCACCTGGTGAAACCAACCATAGGGATGCCCCTGTATGGAGACGCAACTTTATGGACATTCAGACATAGGGCCTTTGCAGACTGCCAGAAATAGTGCACATTAAATTGAGGCACTGCCCTGGCTCAGTGCTAGGGAATCATGGGAACTGTAATTTATTGTGGCACCAGAGCTCTCAGAAAAAAATACAGTTCCCATGACTCCCTAGCACTGAGCCAGGGCAGTGCCTCAATTTAATGTGCACTATTTCTGGCAGTCTGCAAAGGCCCATAGTGATCTTTATAACCAGTGATAAATAGTATCTTATGATCTTTCATCTGTAGTTTCACATAACACTAAACAATTATTAAAACACGAATTTCTTATTCATTTTGGGCTTTTACTCTTCTGCCATCAGAAGAGTATGAAAATTGCAGAATGAATATAGCTAATAAAAATAAAGTAGGATTATTATATTGGAGAACCAGTGAGGTGTTGTGGTTTGTATGTCATGGAAACCCACCGGATAAGCTTGTGCAAGTCACACACTCTCAGCCTCAGAGAGTGGCAATGGCAAACCCCCAGCAAGATACCTTATTTTGAAAAGTAATTGTTTTTCTTAATGTTTACGGGCCTAGTGGTGATTAATTTTCAAATTAAGGTATTTTGAAAATTAATTGTTTTGCTTAATGTTTGTGGGGCTTAATGTTTGTGATGCACCAGAAATGTTTCATAGTTGTTTATGTAACCTCTTTGATGTAAAATATGATTATTTGATTGTTGGTGGCGATTTTAATAAAATTTTGGATCGAATGCTGGACAGAAATACACCTCTTCCATGAAAACAATCCATGAGGACAGCTACTTTACAGACATATATGAATGAATATGGTGTGCAGAACTGTACACACAGGAGACAGTGAATATAGTTTTATCTCCACAGTCTACTGTAATTGTTTCAGATTAGATTATTTCTTAATTTCTGCATCTCTGGTTAGTACAGTATTTTCTGGTGTATAAGACTACTTTTTAACCCAGGAAAA